ATCTCAATTGTAGTATTGGCTCGCCGACAATAACAAATCCTGAATACACAGTAGTAAGGACGCAAACCCAGCAATGACCACAGAACATCCGGGGGTTGGGGGGTATTTTGGGGCAATGACGTTAGAGAGTCGGAAGCAGCTAATAGATGGCGACAGTATCAGTAAAAAACATTGTTAACATTTTGTGCAAGGGAGTGGGCAATCTATAGTTGTCTTCATCTATGGTGAATGCCAGCATTTGAACCAATGTATCGCCATCAGTGGCGCTTCTCTTTGAAGCGCGTCTCGGCTGTAGTCAACCACCGAACGCCACAGAAGCGCTGCTAAATCGGTGATCGCGCCCGTTTGAATAGCTCTATATAAATCAATGTACCTTCAAAAAATGCTTCCTCTCAGCAGCGCCACTGAGAAGCGCTGCAGAGTGGTCCGCGTGAAACGGCTCTAAAACCTACAACGTTTGTGTTCAGAATTTTCGTCGAAATTCACAATTACGACACGAAGATATGCTATAAATATGAAAACTGAACTTTGTTTCCCAACTAAAATACGATGTAAATATGTAAATAATTATGCCCTAATTTCCCGGCACTTGAACTTGGCACTCTTGAAAATCAAAAACTTTCTTTTTTATTTAGGTGAATTTGAAATACTTTAACAAATATGGCAATTCACGCAAGACGAAAGAAGTCGATGAAAAGGCGAACTTATTCAGCAAAATATTCATGTTTTATGGCATTTTGGGCAACTTTGTGTATATGTTAATGCCCCAATTGAGCATAGATAAATGCCATAATAATCGCACAGCCAAAATGATTGATGATGGCGTTCCATGCGGACTTGTAAGTTTTAGGAGAACATTAATTAGCAAGAAAAAAATACTATAAAACACTTCATAAAACTGGAAATAATGTCGATATAAATTTTTTTTACCATAAACATAATATAAAAATACTTTCATTAATTTGTTAATGAATGAAAATTCAAACAAATATAAAAAAACTAACTAATATGAAACTCTTGTAGGTTGTGCGAAGTGTTTTTCCATTCAAGTTCGACTACAAGCCAGTTTTTGAAATTATTTTCGTTCATCAAATTTACACTTGCACTATGGTCTCCATCGTAGTTTTAGCGCTTACTATGTTACTGTGCGGATTTCTCATGCATATAGTTAATCAGTTGAAAAATTTGAGAGAATTTATAGCGAAATTGCGACACTGTCCGCAAGATAAACCTGGAGAAAGATTGTTTTTTATTATTCAATATCACATTGATGTCATTGAGTAAGTATTTAATTCTAAAAAAACTCCCTATAAGTACTTTGTGTAGGTATTCGCAGAATACCGCTAAAGCATTCAGTACAATGCTTCTCTTTTACATAACACTAACTTCTCTGGTACTGAGCGTGTTATGTTTCGAAGTTATCATGGTAGATGCTTTTGAAGATTCAGTGAGATTTGCTCTACATTTGGTAGGATGGTTGGCTATTTTATTGTCGGTTTGTTACAACGGCCAACTGATGATTGACGAGGTATTTCATGTAAAGTTGCTCATTGATATGGATTTGGAACATTTACTTTTCTAGAGCGTCGAAGTGGCTAATGATATTTACTCTCTCAATTGGTTCAATTTTCCTGTGGGTATACAGAAAAAGATTCAAATGATTATCATGCGATCGCAAAAGCCTTTGATTCTTGATGCCGCTGGCATGGGTTTAGTATCATTGCCAGCTTTCTTAAAGGTAAAAAAATATATATTTTGTTAGTTCTACTTATTTTTAATTTATTTCTTCTCCTCTTTGCATGCTTCTATTTATTTCAAGTGTAACTAGTCATGTTTGTGTTTTAGGTGTTAAGTTCTGCATATTCGTTCTTCACGCTTTTATTGAAATTGAAATGAGTCAGCGGCCGGAAAATTTGCAACAACTGGATCTTCTTATGGCATTTCTGCACAACTTTGTATGCTCCACAATGTTGAATTTATTTTAGTAAACCCATTATAGTATGCAGTACAAGACAACCACTGACTTTTCCTGAAGATTTCGTTAGAACCTTATCTGCATATAACTTTTAGCAATCGCTTCGCTTAAATAAACCCATCAAAGCAAGTAATTCATGAAACCTCAAATGAAACGACAAGAGGTCTAATAGAAAATTTAAGCAATATTTTATTTTAACAACACATAATTATTTAGACATTTCATAGAATGTCCACAATCGCTTTCGATATAATAGCTTTTATGGAATGTTTGTCCATACGAATACGTACATACCGAAAAAATGCAACAAACATCAGAAAAGCTCCACATATCATAATTCGGACACTTACTACATAGGTATAACACTCTGTGTTTCAACTCATCTCTGTTGAATGTCCTCTAAGCGCAGACTTTTCCTCTCTGGATCGAATCTCAAACATTTCAGCTTCTTCGATCGTGTCGGGCAATTTACAGTCCAAAGTTTCGGGAAGCTTCAAACAAAGCATGGCACCAATTAGCGGAGCCACTCCGAAGATAATTGGTGGAATCCATGGTTCCACTGTAACAAGTGAGGCAACAAATGGGGCTGCCATTGAACCTGAAAATGTATTTTATTTTTGTCATTCAGTTTGATTTTTAATTGCTTTTATTGAGTGACTTACCGAATCGGGCACACATCGAGGATGTTCCAACGCCAATATTTCGAACCATTGTGGGAAATAATTCCCCCGAATAAATATATACTGTTGGAAAAGACAATGAGAGTCCAAACATTGCTGAAATAAAAAAAACTTGTTCAGTTTAAACTATTCATTAGAAGTCATTTTTTTTTTAAATTTTAGACTTAAGGAATTTTGCATAAATTATCGTAGTCACTTTTCGAGTGAGAACTTAATTTAGTCAATTTGGAATACCATTGAAAAAATGATGCACTATGTGCTTATTCAAGTTTAATTAACAAAAACCCAGGAAGACACGCAGGTCCTACGATTCTATCAAGGTTCTGCCAGATGTTAACATTAAGTAAATATGAGTACATGGTTATTAATGTAATTAAAATACTATACAATAATCAAGGTTGCAAATGAGCACGTGTAAGAACTATTCAGGACGAAGAAAAACAATAAGCAAAGACAATGGAAATTTTTTTAAGTCTGAAGGTCTCATACACAATTTTTTAAATTGTGTATTGCCATTTTGCAAAGTTTATCAAGCGAATTATTTATTTTCCTTCTGCTATTTGAAAGACACTATATAAAAGTACAAATAATTATAGCTGGCGTTTTGTTGTAGATACATATGGAAATAAACAGTTTATTTTAATTTTAATTCATTCCGATTTTTGTACCACGTTAATAGAATATTCTGTAAATGAATAAGTGCATGGAAGGTGCAGCTTTGAGCATTTAATGAATTGACTTTATGAGAGTTATTTTTACTTATCAATTTTTGAAACATGATTAACAATCTCTGCTATAGTTTTACAAATTTATTTGGTACATGGACTTTGTTCCAACAGCCATCGATTCACTCAAATTTTTTGTTTAAAATATACACGCACAAAAATCGTATTTGGAACCACCTATTACAATTTGCAATTAAGGAATCAATTATTTGACAATAATTTATGTTAAATTAGAAATTTACTCGTAAAATTACGATACAATTGATATTACCTGTTGTACTTAATATAGATTTTATCCACGTTGGTTCCGAAGGAGAAACCCCAATTAAAATGAGGAAAACTCCAGAAAGTATATTGGCAGAAATTAAAGTTTTCCTTCTACCCCATGCTTTGGTCGCCCAACAAGCAAATAGTGTGCTGGGTATTTGAATTACTGCTGATAAAGCGACGTTCAAAAAAATATTTCCTGAAATAACAAAAACAAAAACTTATAAAATGATGCATTTCTATCTTGCACAATAAGATTTGTAGAAAATTATTCAACTGCAATGTATAAGATTTATTACACATACAGTTAACAATACAGGTTAACTTAAATAAAAAAATTGGAATATAAAGTCAATACAATTTTCATAATAGATGGCGAATAGAAAAGGTCTACTACAAGGAACATTTCAAATCGCCGTTCGGTTTTGGCTATAACATATACAGGGTGTCCAGTAAGCTCATGATCAAAAGGGTACTGCTTTATTCTTTGGATCAAAAGAAGACGATCTTACCTAACTTTTATTAACAAAAAATGTCTGGCTCCTCTGCTATTGATGATCAAAGTTCTTCAAAAATTTGATCTTTTCTGAAAAATCGGGAGAATGGTACGATGTATTTTGGTGAAACTCGATGTGAATTTTTCTTATGTAAGAGTCATGTTTTGATGAAACAATCGAGTTCAGCCGTTTTGGACAAGTGGTGAATTTTTGAGTGTAGTGGTACAAAAACTACCAGAACTTTTCAGTTGGAGGATGAAATCAATGAATTTTCGCAAAAACTATGAATGCTACAAGATTTTACAAAGTGCACAAAATTGTGAATACATGATTAGTGCATCAACCGAAAAAAAAATGAGTTGATTTCCTCCTCCAACTAAAAAGTTCTGGTAGTTTTTGTATCATGACACTCAAGAATTCACCACATGTCCAAAACGGCTAAACTCGATTGTTTCATCATAATATGAGTCTTACATAAGAATAAATTCACAGCGAGTTTCACCAAAATACATCGTACCATTCTCCCGATATTTTAAAATCGATCAATTTTTTGAAGAACTTTGACCATCAATAGCAGAGGAGCCAGATATTTTTTGTTAATAAAAGTTAGGTCAGATCGTCTGCTTTTGATCAAAAGAATATCACAGTACCCTTTTGATCATGAGCTTACGGGACACCCTGTATACTTCAAAATTACATGTATAATACAGTACTACTACTAAACAGTTTAGTACACACTACTAAACAATAGTAACTTCTTACAAACAAGGCTTGATCCAATTAATGGCTCTGTCCTTATTGAATTAATGTACCAAATATTTTAATTAATTGAAATTTAAAAATTTGAAAAAATCTTCACTAAGAAAAAACCTATTTTCCTATAAAATATTTACTTACGTAAAATATAAATATAACTTTGTAAACGATGCCTTATACCTAGACAATTGAAAGTTATTTGTATATGCAAAAAATTGAATTGAATATGATTAATATAATTAAAAATAGGAAAATGAAAAATTAAACATTTAGTTAATTTGAAGCAAAATATATTTTTCAGAAACTATTTAGATTTGGATTAGTCGACAATTTTCAATCGAAAGTGTTCAATTGCCAAACATTTTAACCCTGTACATTCACCGCATTACGAGTTTAAAAAAAGGCAAAACCCATGAATGTGGATTTCTTTAGCTTTCTTTATTGTAAATATTTTACTCACCTCCTAAATGGCCAATAAATTGTGAAACGCCAAAAAAGCACAATCCACATACAAGCCAATTGAAGCAGATGGCAATTGTGTACATTCTCATAATGGGCGTTCGTACTAGATCCAGAATATTTCCTTTTCGACTTTCCAGTTGTTCATCCTCTACTTTGTTAGTTAGATATTCTAGAACGTCATTTTTTATGTTCTTTGTTGGTAGGTTGTTAGATTTTGCCGCCTTTTCCAGCACTTTTATAGCTTCCTCTCTTTTGCCACCTTGAACAGAAAACGTATTTGTTGAAGACAAAAAATTAGAAGACCTAAAAGTGTATTAATATTACTTGTTAGGGTTGCTGAATTTTGTATTTAAACTGCAATAAATACAGAAGGAAGACTCAAACAATTTGGTTGAAATCGTTAATTAATAAGTCGTGGTGGTTGGTCATGTTTTTAGAAAAGTCTTCTAGAAATCTCGATACGTTTAGAGATGAGTATATTTTTCAGTAGTCTTTTTATCTACAGGAATAGTTTTCAGGCGCATTTTTCCTTTCCTACTAGTTCAAATAAAGTAATTTCTTGCCCTGGCAAAAAAGCAAAAATTTATTTGTTTAAAGATCAAGAAATGCTTTTACAGATTAATGTTATCTATGAGATTTCATTCAATTACCTGCTAGTAACCATCGAGGACTTTCAGGCATTACCCAATAATAAAATATTAAAGCAAGAGAAGGTAACGATATGGCGGCTTGAAAGTATCTCCAATCTCTTAAGAAGTAAGATATTACTGGTAGGAGGATATGGCCCAAGTTAAAGGGAATTTGGTACAATATACCGACTACTGTTCTCCACTCGGTACCTAAAATCAAAAATCACAAGTTTATATCCATCGTTTATTCAGGAAATCAACCATAATCATAGGTATAATTTTCATTTAATTCGGTTATGAACCAGGTCAACGGTACTACGAGCAGAATATCGTAGTAAATTTGAAAAAAACCGTCTGAATAATGGATGTATCCCTGACCTACAGCTTAGTAATGTGAATGTCTTAACCCGATTAGCATTAGTGATTACACGGAACAGTACATTATTCGAAAGAAATTAAAATATTTACATTATTGCATATATTAAGTGTTACACAAAAGTTGACCTCTGATTTACCAATATTTCCTGATTTATGAATATGAATTGATTTTGTTAAATATAATTGGGTCTTAATGACAATAATCTTTTTCATTAGGTATTGCTAATTAAAAAATGGGAAACGCATTTTGTCCACATGTTTTCATCAATGCACCCTGTGGAGGAATGTTTAATTCTACGCATTATTAGCAGAATTTTTCTAATCGAGTTATAAGCGATAAGCGAACAATCCAGCTATTGATTAAGCATTGACCATTTGACTAATTGCTGATTATCGGTCAATTTTTAATTAACAATGCTATCAGAAAATTGTGATTCTAAAAATTCTCACTTATTATCATTTAATTCCAAACAGCTTTAACTCATACAAGTTGCGATTTTTTTCGATTTTTTTATTAAATGAGTTTTTATACTTGCATTGGGCTTGGGTTTACACTAGCAAATTATGTTTCACAAACTTTGGAGATAAATTATAATATTTTTTTTTAGTTATCTTGGATATTGTTAAATTTATTTATCATATACGGTTATTTACCAATAAGTTCCATGATGAGTACAAAGCTGGTTACCATTGTTCCTCCAGTCGCTAAAGCAGCGAAAAATCTCATGATGAGAAACAGCGAAAACCATGGGGAAAATGCCGCTATAGTTCCTGAAACTGCTTGTAAAATAACGGCACCAACTAATGGCAATTTCCGGCCAAACCTACAAAATAAATGTATATCACTATAGGTAATTTTCTCCATCATTGCAATTTCATTTATGCAATAGCTTCTTACAATTTTCCAATGACTGGAAACATTGTTTGGATCTTTTATATTTAGAATTTGAATTGATTAGTCAGTATCCACATTATAATAAACTAAAGTAATCGAATGTTTGCCATAAACTGTTGAACATGCTGAATGATTGATCGAAGCTGCAAACACAATATTTTCTTTGAAAAGTAATTGGCAAAAACATTTTATTATGATGATGGCTTCTGACCAAAAGTCTTAGCCCTCAAATCTTCATATATAATTTATTTTAAATTGTTTCAAAATTATTGATTTGTTTTTTTTTAACTCTTTTACTTTCCCGGTTCCGGTGAAATTCCATCGAGACATGATTAGCTAATTATTAACTGTGAAATTAACCTACTATTTGTCTAGGAGAAATGAAAGATTTTACTGTCGGTTCATTGCACTGTTCGCATTAGAATTTGCATCACATAAACCATTTTACATAATAATGCTGTTCAGTTGATCGATTTTTTTTGGGTACCTAAACTGCTTTTCTACTGAATGCATTCGTATTGTTAATTTAATTAAACTAACCAGTTGTTCGTCCTTGTTGCCTCAAAATCGCATCCTGTCAGATTGTTAAACGCCCCAATTAAGCTAAGACAATTAGTTACAATTTCGGTTTTAGTTTAATTAATCTCTGGCTTATTGTTCAGTAATTACGCATTTTTTGTTATGGGTTCTAGCTTATTTCTTTTAAATCTATTAATGCCGATAATGTTCTCATTAAATATTTGTAATATTTTCCACTCTTATCACAGCTCTGTAAGCGATAAATTCCAACTAATCTCATTAAATGACTAATAACTGACGATTATGATAAACATATGTAAAATGGCCAATTTTTAAACTGCTTAGCATATTATCAATATAGATTTTTCTGAAAACATACATTTACGATTATAGATGAGCACGCCAAACCAGTATTTAGTCCACCACCTATTCATGTTTCCAAACAAACATTAGCTGTTTTATAAACACTTATGATTAACATTTCAACACCATGCTGCTAATTATCGTAAATAAAATGTGTGGCCTGGATTTTTCTCGATAAAATTCAAACCTAGCGATATTCTCAATAGCCGCTTTATGCAATTTACAAATATTTTTATAGCTGCGCCCTATGAAACAAAGGATGTCCAAAACTTAAATCCTTCATTCCAGGGATATTTTCCATACACACACACACACGAACACTATTTGGGAGTTATCGTCACATAACCAGGGAGAGCAAAGCATTTTTTCTTAATTTTAATGATTATTGGTCAATTGAAATTCCTGCCTTTTGTTTGTAAAGGTATTTCAATTAACGCTAAAATAACCCGTAGGAACCGGCGAATACTATTTGTTTATAGACCCGAACTATAATAAAAACTAAACAGATGAATATATCTTTCTTAGCTTCCTTATTTAGATACAAGATAGTATCTCTGTCTAAGAACTAAATGTTCATCCAACGGAAGATTTGCAATGCGACATAATTTCTATGTCGTATAATAAAAACTTAATGTTTAGTCTTGTACAAGCAAAGTTAATCTGCAGCCTGTGCAGGTTGTTAATTTACGGTAAACGCGAAACAATCATTAGTTATGACAGACAATGGACAATAAGTTGACGATTTCACTTACTTATCTGATAAGTATCCAAATACCATGTTTCCGAAAAGAATTCCGAGCATTGTGACTGTTTGGGCCAAATCCGCCAAATATTCTTTCTCGCAAACTAGGTCCCATTCTGATAGGATTGTTTCACTGAATACGGACCTGGAAATTAGATAATTTTGTTTCAGTGGTTATCATTGCTAAAATTTCAAAAAACTTTTATATTGTATACTATTATACTTTTATATAATAATACTAAAATAATTTTTAAGAAAGACCTTGAGCGAAAAAAGATTGAAATTCACTTCATACAGCGTAAAACACAAATAATTACCTACTCACCTATTAAAAACGTGGGCACTACAATTGCGAGCACATTTGTCCAAGTTAGGATCAACGCAATAAAACTCCGTTCTTGGAGCTACGAATACTATGCTGAGCTGATGCCACGCTACGGGAAATTTCACCAAAAATATGGCTAAACACACCCAAATATGCCATTTGCCTAGAACCCCGATTGATTTTTGAACAATATCAACATGTTCAGGTTCTTTCCGTGGTTCATCTCGGGCAGTACCATTTTGCACTAGAAAATACAATTGTTTGAAACCGATTAACAGAAAAAGAACGTTTTTTAAAAAAGGGTTTTTTTCTAAAATTTACAAGGATCGCACCTATAGATGGACCGCTTAGGTCGGTATCCAATTCGTCTATGGTAAAACTTTGAAGAAAAGTAAAAAATGTGCACTTTGATGCCAAACAACATTCAATCCAATTGACCAATTTTTTCTTATTTCAAAATAGCGTTCTTTTGCTAATCTTGCACTACTACTTGGAAAAATACTGCCAACCGATTTAAAAAATAATACTCATTTAGAAAATCATCAAATTTCTCATGAAAAATTACAAAATGCATAGCATTTTTACAAGTAAATCGCACAATTCTACAAACGAAGATGAGAATCAACGTGATTTTGAAGGTTCTAACTTGATAACAATTGCAAATAAGAAGTAATTAACTTAATAAAACACGTCATATGCAACAGACGATATAGTATATTATTTTTTTAAATTCAGCAGTATTCGTAATTGTATCAGCATACAGACTTTGTTTGTTTGGTAATGATGTGCAACAAAATATGTTTTGAGTAAAATCTCACAAATGACGAAGCTGCAAGACTTTGATTTTTTTAAACTAAATTTGAAAAATAAAAAATTCTCGGACATAAATATAAATCCAAACCATATTCGGAAAAGTTTTGATGTTGTTAGTTCATTAACGAAAGAAACCTGTTGGTAACACTTTAAATATAATAAAACAAAAATTATAAAATAACTTCAATATTACGGACGCTCACAATTATGCAAATATTAACAGTTTTATTGAAGCCAATTTCTTCTTAGTATAATGATACATATTTTTTTTTAGTTTTGTGAGTTATGATGGTGTAATAGAGTCGCTCTTATTATCTTTTTGCAGTGGAAAATTTATAGACAAATTTAAACCAATTATTTGGAGGCATAGTGATTGCGAACAAAAATTTAATGCATTTTTGACATATCTTAACAATAAAAAAACGAAAATTAAATTTTTTGTTGATAAAGAACAATACAATATGTAGAAAATCTATTCATTCAAATGGATATTTAATTTAACTATAACTAACTCAAATAACTAGATAATGATAAATAAAGGCATTGTAAAAAGTTTATATTATAGAGTAAAAATAATTTGCAATTAATATATTTTTACCAAAGAAATACAATGCAAAAAAGGTTTAAAATTTATTATTCGATTTTCTTTATATATAAAATATAATCATAATCATAATCTTCATGAAATCATCAATAATAAAACAAAACCAGAATAAACCCACTATAGTCATTTTTAGTCGATTTCCTGCGTGGCTTTCAGATAAAGTTAAACGAGTCCAATTCAATACCAAGCTTTATTTCAAAACTGAAAACACAATTGAAAGCAAAATTTCCAAAAAAACAAAACCTTATAAATAATTTGCAAATTCAATAACAGGACTTTAAAAAATTCCCGGCAATTGTAATACATTTTATATAAGGAAAACCTCACGAACTTTAAATAACGGAATTAAGGAACACCGATTATAAATAAAAAAATAAATATTTATACACATTACATATTAGTTAACATGTATTTGATAATTGCCACAAAATTCAATGGTATGCTTGAACAATTTTGACAAAGTAAAAAAAAAACGTAAACATAAAGTGCATTCATTTTATTAAATCAAGACAATTCTGATGTTTCATGTTCACTTAATTTAAGCCATACTTGGTTACCTAATAATGCTGAAATCTGACGTAAACCAAAGCAACATACAGACAAATTACAATTTCACAAATATCGCCTTGAAAACAAATGCACTGAATATTATTCGTCTTCGATGCATACAACATTCTTCTGAGAAGTTACAACTTTAAAAAACATTTTCTTTCTTGATTTAATTTCCGCGCAACCGTTAATAGTTCGTCCGGATAAATCAATATATGTTAATAATAAATCAATAAATGTGTAAAAACAAAATTATCACAAAAATTTCGTCTCCAGAAATTAATGGACCCAAAGGCAGGTTTGGGTTATTCCCAATGGAAATTAAGACTCGAACTTTAACTGAGAAACAGATTTGCCTTGAAAGATCTAAATTCTCCTAGTTTTCTTTAGATAACACTAAACGAGAATGAGGAATCATTCTGGGCGGAATTACATCTTGCTGCAGATTTCGCGCCATCAGCCTGTGTAACACTGTGTCTAGATACTTTTGTGTTGATGCCGCTATGTGTGCCCAATACCTCGCCTCTTACGACGTAACACCTTTAACAATACCAGAATTGACGGTTGTACAAGTGAAACAACATCAGCTAACTATTATTTAACCTCATTCAGGATGGCAGACTTCGGGGTGCAAGTTCGTGAAGGCCACGAACGGTTATCAAATTATTTCCGACACTGTCGGCAGGCATCATATTATTTCGTTTTATGTAATTATAAAGCCGCGCCAGTGATTATAGAATTTCGAAGCCACCGAGATATTCTTTTTTTTCGTTTTATCTTATTTTCAAGCCCTGGCAACTATGCTGGTTCCAGGTAGTAGCACAACATCTGCGATTTCGATATTTTAACAAAACAAAAGTGTAAATGCCTGCCTTTTGATTACTACCAGATTATGTAAAAAATCAGTCGACGAACAAGGCCAAAAACGAATTTAAATGGTTTTGTACTAGAATACTAGAAAGGTGCATTCATCAGCCCTTTCATACATAAAGGAACGAAAGTCATTCGGTTATAATTTATGGTTGACCCAGCAGATTCGCTACCAAACTTCTAGGAACAAATGGCGTTGATATTGTTCAATGGAACTTATGAGCTTCAGTCAGGTTTCATACAAACCAATATTTATCATGAGACAAAATCATAGATACTTGTGAAACAAATAAGCTTTACAAGAAGAAAATATGTGGCGACGCCCGAAAATCTACTGTTTTACTCAGGCCTACGATTAGCAACACCATAATTATAATTTTAATACAAACAATGTAGATATCACAACATATTCAATTTTCTTGAAAACGTTTCTGTGTTTTTTCACCATCATCAGTTTGGTAAAAACAACCAGTTGTTAAAATATTTCGCCCATACATATACATGAAATATAAGAACACTTTAAAATTGTGGGCATTCTTTTATAAAAACGGTTATATTATTTATTAGCAAAGCCTGTCATTACTAGAACTCTTTAAAAATACAGTGCACTAAAACATTCCTAAAATTATGAAGACTAAACGAGGAATCAGTGCCATAAAATTTGGACAAAGAAAGAACAGATTGTCACATTTTAGGATTTTAAATTATTTCCTTACTTCCATTTCAGAACAAAAACACGAAAAATCTGTTTATATTTAATTCTTTTCTTTCCTTATTTTTCCTCTGCATTCAGCAGATACTATTTTTGATTTCCATATCTTATAATATAAAGAATGTTAATCTTTTTTGTTTCTTTCATTTTTTATTTAATTCATGTTTGATATATTTAGCTTAGATTGTCTGTATCTGATCTGAAATCCATGGAGTTGATATGTTTTTTGATTTGTATCATTTCATGGACTCTTCTCTTATGATAACTAATTTCATTGATCAGTATTTTTGCGTTGTTGAAATAAAAATTGTGTCACAATTGATGTGCATATTGTGCTAATGCTGTTCCATTTTCGTTATTTTTCCTAATGCTATATTTATGTTCGTATATTCTTTTCATGCAATATTGTCATGTTTGCTCTATGTATGCATGTGTTATCACATTCCAAACTGTATATTACATTAGGTACGTCTAGTTTATCATTTTTTTGTTTAAATTTTGTAAAACATTCATTTGCTAAGTTGTTTTTAGATTTTTCTGCTATATGTATTGATATTATGCGGTTTGAAAATATGTATTATTTTTGTATTAATATCAGGAATGACAGATACATATTTGACATTACTGAAACCCAGGAATATTGTTTACATTAAAATTGGAAATACAGTCAGGAAAACTTACATGATCGTAATTATAATGCATATAACGAAATTGAATAATTATGGTTCGAATTCAACTTACTCGATTTTGAGACTTTACAATTCCTGAAATTAAATAAAGAAACAAAGGCATTTTCCATTCGATGTTTGTCAAAGGTCATTGGAGATCATTCACTTGAGCGAAACAGTATTATAGTTGAAAATTCCAATCAAGCCATGATAGTGACTCGAAAATTAAGTCGAAAATTTAGATAACCGAAGACAGAAACAAATAACAATAATTAATTATCCCCTGTTGGGGTAATTATCAGTTCAAAGTTCATGTTTTGGAATGTATAATTCCCCAATTATAAACTGTGGTTGTTTGTTTTGTTTTCTTCTATTCTTTACTACCTACCTAAATTACACTCAATGTATTTATGAAATTTTATGGCTTTGTGTTACCACTTTATCAGTATTCGATCAATCTTCACGGTGTATTTATATTAATTAAAATTGCACAACAGAGATATTGCTACATCTTGTATTATTTTCCCAGATTGACTTTCATAAAAGTTCGTAGAAGTTTACAACATACCTGTACATATTAACGAGGCAATATCGACGTAAAAACTACGCACATTTTATGAAGTATTCATTAGAAGTTATGATTATATTAATAGAGTGTATGTAATTTATTTTTGCAAAGAACCCGAATATGGAATAACCAAAATATAATTTATATAAATAATACATTTTTCCAGAACTACACAGTATTGAGAGTAGCCAAGACATTTTATCAAAACGCAAGTATTTATTAATTTTTTTAACTTTTCTTGAATTACTAGAAATTGGACCTAGGTTACTTCACTTTCTACCTTATTTTACCTCGTTTTCCCATGAGTTCAATACTAGAGCAGGTAAATGTAAAATCTTATCAGTGGTGTTACCTGCACGCTACCTAAATTACTGTATTTTTTTATTATTAAAATTACTTTTGAAATTCCTTGTTGCATTCAAAATGAAAAATATATCTTGCATTTTTCAAGATCAAGCAAGATTCGAATATATGTGCTAAATGGCCAAATTGGCCACATTTAAAAGGGTTCAATCCTTTGTATACTGGAGTAGATCAAAACTGAGCTCATCTCATAAAAAGACTCGATAAGTGTGTGGAGAGTGAAGGTTTAATTTTTGAATACTAGTAATGCCGTATTGTTGGTCTATTTTGGCTTGTAATATGCAAAAACTAAACCAGTTTGAAAACATTTCCAATCTCAAACGCATTTATTAAATTATTCTGTCCCGCTTATACCTGGTTAAGGGTTAATGAAGATCCATAAATTATCGACTAATTATAGCTTTTAAATGGGCCAGTATTGAACTATTTCCTGCCGTTGTGGAGTTAACGACCACAATTAAAAATGTATGTAATAAATCACAACGATAAACATTTTTTCCAACACTGTTTAATTAAGATTATTTATGTTAATGTAATCCTGCAATTACTAGCGAGACAATCGCAAAATTTTAAATGCGAACAGTGATAAATAAAAAATAGAACAATAACTTTACGATGATGTTTCTCAATTTTATTCTCTCATTTTTGAAAAATTCTAATAATAATTTCAAGGAGTGTTCAAAGGTCACAATTGAATTAAATTGCAAATAATAGACACGAAAAAGGAGAGTTCACATAGACTTTTAGAATATACACTATGAATAATGTGTGTTTGGGAGTATTTAAACAGACTTGCAATGGAATTAACGACCCCTAAATAGAAAATTTACCATAACCATAATTCTGATTTATTTTCCTGACTCCGTGTACTTGTTATGATATTCTTATCTTTCTTGGGTCTCAGTCAAAGTGTGAAGTAAAAATTTTGAAACATGGTTTATTTCATTACGTTTCGGCGAGACAACAGCGCCATCATCAGATTTAAAATTTACACAAACTACAAACACCAATTCACAATTAAAACATGTTGTATAAAAACTATAATTTACAAAGTGTTAAAACATTCATCAGTTTTTGAGGGAAAAAAATCCTTCCTTTTGGGAGAGCAAAACACTGGAAAAACTTACCTCATGATTGGTAAAAATCAACGTTCTTTTAGGTCTTTGCCTTCTTGAAACCTTAAATTTGTCTGAATTATTTTCTACATTTGCGAGAGTGGTATGCATGTACTGAGATAAGCAGAAATAGTTTTAATTTTCCACCAGTGTACTGGGTGTTCCATATTTATGGCTTTATTAGGGTTTGGTAAATATTGCTAAGGTTTTCGATATCTGATCTGAAATTTACTGCTTTTGCATGTTTTTTTTTGTAGCATTTCTTGGGTTCTTCTTTTATGATCATTTGTTTCCCTAACTAATATATCTGCGTTGGTATAATCAAAATTATGGAACATTTGGTGTGCATGTTGTGTTAATGCTGTTTTATTTTCACTAGTATTTCTCAGACTGTATTTATGTTCGTACATTCTCATTTTTAAATATTGTTTAGTTTGTCCTATATATATATTATCACATTCTAAACAATTCACTCTATGTACAGTATTTGATATATCCATTTTGTCAGTTTTTGGTTTTAGTTTTGGGAAACATTCAGTTGATAAGTTGTTTTTTGTTTTCTCCGCAATTGTAATGTTGTGTGGCTTTACTTAGTATTTTTTAATTTTTTTTATTGATTTCTGGAATATATGGTAGTGATAGATATGCATTGTTTCTTTGTTCCTCATTATTGTTATATTTAGTTGAGTTGTAACTCTTGTTAATTATTCGCTTTATTATTGGTTCAGAAAAATTTTTGGGTAGTTATTATTAAGTACTTCTATATTATTCTGATTTTTTTT